TTTGGATATGTTTTTAAAGTTCATTTCATATTGAATTTTTTTTATAATTTTGAACTTCGTATAATAGTGAATCTCCCAATTATAAATCAAAAAACCAGATAGGCTCTTTTTCTTTTTGGAACGAAGAACCAGATAAGATCAGACACAAAACGTCAGAAGCTACACGGTCACTGATAGCATCACCATATTTACCAGCAAGAGTGAAGAAAAGAAAGGAGAGAGAGAGAGAGAAAACTTCACCCAGAATCAGCACAGAAAGTACAGAATGAAGCTGAAAGTATACGTTGATCGACTGTCACAACCGTCACGTGCAATTTTAATCTTCCTCAAGTAATTTACTTTCTCTCTTCTTTGTCAAAATTCACTGTTTTATTTTTTGTTTTGTAATTATATTGATGAATTTGTCAGTTTTTTCTGTAATTTAAAACTGGGTTGTTGTAAAGTTGTGTCTTTTTCTCATATAATTTGTTGGAATGTCTGTTTTTTGTTTGTTTGTTTGTTTCTATAACAGGGCAAATGGAATAGAGTTCGAGGAGGTGAAAATAGACATAGTCAAACGCCAACACAAATCTCCTGAATTCAAAAGTATGCCTTTTTTATGTAGTTTCTATTGAATTGGGTTTTATAATTGGTGGTTAGTTTTGCCAAAGTTCATTTACTAATAATAAATTGGTTAGAAAACATATTTGGTTAATTGGGTTATGTCATATGTTGGTGGATAGTTGCAAATTCTGAGACTCAGTTGTGTGGAACTGAATTATTCATATTGGATGATAACCATCCACCAACATATGACATAACCCAATTATCCAATATGATGAAAAAGGGATGGGAAGGCTACTTTGTAGTTTCCCATTGCCACTTTGATGAAAAGGGGAAAAACAAGTGAGTTGTAGGAAATACATGACTTGCGAATCAGCACAACTGAATCACTTCAGAAGAACCCTATAAAAAATCACATAAGAAGAGTCGTTAATTAATCGGGTTTAATTAGTGTATATAGATATGTAGTAAAATTTTTAT